CGCGGCAGTGGGAGCGCGCGCCGGGCGGTGGCCCGCTCCCTCATCCCGTCCCGTTCCCGGGGAGGGGGGGGATCCCGGGGTCCCGGCCCCGCTCCGGGAGGGATCCCTGCCCTCCGGCCCCGCCGGCAGCACCTCGGGGTCCGCCAGAGACACCCCTGGCTGCCTTCGCGGGGGCAGCCACGGCCTCTGGCTTCTGCACGGACCGGCAGAGCCCGGTGTGTGTGCGGATTCGTAAAACACAGAACGTTTTTCGGTTGGAAAAGGGCCCTAAACATCACCTAATTCCAGCCCCCTGCCCTGGGCAGGGACACCTCCCACCAGACCAGGTTGCTCCAAGCCCCCTCCAACCTGGCCTTGAACCCCTCCAGGGATGGGGCAGCCACAGCTTCTCTGGGCAACCTGGGCTGGTGTCTCACCACCCTCACAGTCAACAATTTCTTCCTGATTCTAATATCTCATCTAAAACTCCCCTCTTTCACTTTAAAACCATAAACTCTCATCCTATGGCTCCCCTCCCTGATCCAGAGTCCCTCCCCATCTCTCCTGAAGCCCCTTGAGGGACTGGAAGGGGCTCTAAGGTCTCCCTGGAGCCTTCTCTTCTCCAGGCTGAACCCCCCCAACTCTCTCAGCCCCCACTCCCAGCAGAGGGGCTCCAGCCCTCAGATCACCTCCATGGTCAGAGGGGCTCCAGCCCTCAGATCACCTCCATGACCCCCTTCTTATGCTGGGGGCTCCAAAGCTGGATGCAGGACTCCCAGATTCCCAGACACCTCCCAGGCAGGGACCTGTGTTGGCAAGAGGTGGGGGGGTTGAACTAAATGATCTCCAGAGGTCCCTTCCAACCTCATATCATTCCGTGATTTTGTGACCTGCTGGTGTGAAGAAGTCCCCATTACCTCCCTGGGGGTAGCCGGGAGCACACACTTATCTCCAGCAACTCAGCACTGCTCACCTCAGTTTAGGTTCCTGTGAATGGAGAACATCTCCCCAGCGCTCTCCTCCTCCCGGCCTCTTTTGCCCTTGACATTTTAAAAGCTGGCTTGGGGAGGCACCACCTCATCTCTTTCTCTGCAGGTCCTGCGTAGCTCCCGGCACGTTTGATAACACTGTGTTGGCGAAGGAAATTTGCAGAAGGAGAAAGAAAAAAAAAGAGCTTCACATCTGATCTCTGTGGGGAGGGATAAGGGTAAAGGTGTGTGCAGCCACCCACCCGTGTCAGCCTCAACCGCAGCCACCGCCGAGAGGAAAGGGCAGCGTGTTTGCACATTTATATGTCACCAGCCAGATAAAAATTAGTTTGTCAGCCCTCTGTTTCATGCTTTCTGTGCTTTGCTTTATATTCAGGCAGAGCACAGCGAGTCTCCTGGTGCTCCTGAGCCACAGCCCAGCACATCAGCTGTTGCCATATCACAAGGCACCTGTGGTTTTTCCCCATCTCCCCGGCGGCCTGGTGTTAGCTGAAGATAATTAGATCTCAATTATCACCAGGAAAGTTTTGAGCCTCTTCCCAGTGTGGCTCTGCAGCTGGTCTTAGCAGAAGGCAGGGCTCTGTTTCTCCGGCTGCCTTTGGGCAGAGCTGGTACCCTGGGCTGGGATGTGGCAGTTTGGGGAGGGAGAGTGGGTTTTGCTATAAAACACCCTTGGAGCGATGCATCCCCCCCAATGGGGACCTGGAGGAGCCCCCCATGAGCCCCAAAGCAGGCATTCACTGCTCTGGCAAGGGCACCGAGCTGGCACCCAGCACCCTGCGAGAGGGAAATGACCCATGCCGTTCCCAGATGTGCCAGATCCAGCCCTCCCCAGTGCCAAGGCTGGTTTCCAGTGTGGGGGTGAAGAGCCAGCCCTGCCTGCCTTGCTGGTGGCAGCAGCTCCTGGGGGTAGTTTGCAGGATCAGGAACCCCACGGGCACCCAGCACTGTGTGTGCATCCTCACGTGCATGGGGAGCACCGGGGTGCCACATCGGTGGCACACAGGGACAGGCAGTGCCAGGAGGGGAGGCTGCGATGTGCCAGGCACCTCTGGTCCTCACAAACCTCTGGATCTCCCCTCTGGTGTGGAGCCAGCGGCTGGCTCCCGAATTGCCTGGCTGCTTTTCCCCTGACCTCCAAGTCACCTTGAGCCGTGCCGGCAGCGGGTGTTCGCTCTGCCAGGGGCGCTGTGAATACTAAGGAGGCAGGAATGAAACCTCACCTCCACAGCGGGGCTGGATGGGGGTCAGCACTGCCAGCGGGCACCGGGCGGCTGCAGCAGCCGTGCACACCCCAGAACTGGGCTGTGCTGCACAGGAGTGCGCTAGAGGGGCTCAGAGGGACAGAGATGTGGCCACAGCCCTCCAGCTTCCTCCTGTTCTTCCTCCCTCCTCTGCTGGCTTGATGCTCCCATTTGCTGTCCCTCTTACCCCATTTTGGCCCAGCAGCAGAACGTCCCCCTTCCCAGCAGCTCCATCCCACTCCCTCGCCTTGCTCCATCTCTCAGGCTCTCTCCCTCCTTCCCTTCCTCCTCTTTCCATTTCTTTCCAAGCCCCCAGTCTCTCTCCTCCAGCACTCCTGCAGATTCATTGTGAATTTTGGCAGCACTGTCTCTGACCTTGGCTGTCTCCCTCCTCTCTTTGCTCCTGCGCTGGCAGCATAAATCTCGGCTGTCTCCATCTCTCCTCCCCTTCCCTCACTGCCAGCGCCCTGGGGACGGAGCAGCCCTTGCCAGCCCCCAGCCCCATGTTCGGCCAGCTTGGGATCAGTTTGGGGAAGGCTTTTGGGGTGCCCACCCCACACCCTCCAGCCCTTCAAAGGCTTGAGACCATGTCCCAGCTCCCATCCAGCAAAGGCAGTGGGACCCAGGGGCAGCACGGTGAAAGCAGCGACGCGTGCAGGATGTGTCCCTCCTCCCCATCCTCTGCAGGTGTCCTCTTGAGCATCTCTGTGGGTTTGGGGTGCAGGAACAGCCCCCCTGGGTGGCACAGAACCCTGACCCCATAGCAGACACCCCATGGACCATCACACTGGCTGCCTGCACAGGCTCATCCCTGTCCATGGATGAAGGCAGGCAGGAGCCACGGCACAAGTGACTCTTCCTCTGCCCCCAAATCCCCAGCCTCGTGGGGGTCCCAACCTCCGCACCCTGGGCACCCCTGGGTGCATCATCCACCACAGGGCTTGGATGCTCTGAAACAGAGGGCTTGACCAGGGCTCTGCTCGGGAGCAGATCGGCAGCATTTCTGTTTTTCTCAGGGAATTTGCCGACGTGAGAGGCAGCAGTTCCCAGCCCCGGCGTGTTTTCCTCCCAGCCCTGCTCCTGCCTGCCCGTCTGTTCGCAGGGATGCGCCCGCCTGCTCCAGCTCCATCTTTTCCTGCTGATTCGGGACAATCTGTGTCCCGTGACCTACTTGTCTCCAAGCATCTCCTGCCTTCCCGCGGAGTGGGTTGGTACTAAAGCCTCTCTAAATGTGGTTAACGTGTCAGGATGCACTTACATTTATTTTTAATTCTGCTGCTTTCTCGGCCCACTTCTGGATGCCTCCCCGGGGGACGCGGTGCTGGGAAGCCTCTGCGTTTCAACACAGTGCAACGAGAGGAGACAAGAGCAGGGAGCGGGTGGGTCGCAGCACGCACAACCTCCACTGCAAATTTATAATAAAATCATGTGTATCCCTGCCTTCGACGCAGCAAAAGGTGGTGGGAGACCCCAGCCCAGCCCCCAGCCCCACTACATGGGTTGGTCCCTTCCTCTTAAGCACCACACAACCCACGGTGCCGGTCAGCATCGGTTGTAACGTGAACACATCGCAGCGGGGAACCTGCAAACCCATTTTTCTGAGCTAAACAAATAATTAAAATCAACAGAAAACCTTCCCACAGCACCTTGGAGGAAAGTTTTTTAAAAAAAAAAGTAAGAAAATGGCTAAAACATATGCCAGGGTTAATTTTTAATAGAAACTTGAGTCTAATGAGGGGGATGTCCAAGGAAGGATAATATTGTCACCCATTATTAACCAGCAGTGGCACAAGCCAAGCTGGCCCTGCGGGGACCTTGCCAGCACCAGTGCCTGGATGGTGCTGAGCCTGCCCAGCCCTCAGCATGGCTCCCTCTGGAAATGCAATTGCACCTCTTTATTTGTGCACGCACACCTCCCCCCCACAAACGCTCTGAACCTTTTTGATCAGTTTTAGCTGTATTTGACAAAGACTTCAGAGAAAGTCCCTGCCTGTCTCATGGAATGGGTGGTAGGAGATGCCCATCGTGCTGTCCCCACACCAGAAAATGTCCTGGCCCCATGGAGACCAGTGTGGCTGCAGAAGGACTTTGATGGGGGGACGGGGGGACGGGGCAGGGGCACAGGGCAGGGGGGGCTCAGGGCACCAGCCACCCATCCCTGCAGCCCTGGAGCTGCGAGCTCACCCAGCACCAGCAATCGGTGCATCATCTCACACGATCACGGATGAGCTTGTGAAGATGCTGGAGGCATGTGAATGTGCTGAAGGGAATGTCAATGTGAGGGACAAATCTTCCCGGCAGCTTTCAGCAGCCCACCCGCTATCACTCAGGATTTACGTCCACAACCCCATCTCCAGGCACCGCTCCAAAAGCGGAAATAGCACACGTCTCATTAACAAACGAGCTAAAAGCGTGCTGCTGCCAGCAGGTCACTGCTGGGGCTCAGGCCAGCATCCAGTTTCAGGTCAGAAAGAAGCGGAGCGCGGGCACTAACACCAGTGCTCAGTGAAAAATGGAATAAATAGCACCATGAGGGTGCCAGCCCCGCCACCGGGGGAAGAGAAATGTGGGGGC